AGGAGCTAGAGAGGTGACAAACTGATTCTCTTCGAGAGAATTAAATGTGACCAATATGACACCCATTTCTGAACCATGCTGCCTCGCTTTGTCTCACTGTTTTTTGACGTTAAAAAACTTGTAGCAGGACGACTTGAACTTTTTCCATCCGTCTGTCTGGTCGCAGACATCTGCAATAGAAAATGAACGGAGAGGAACTTTGAAAAAAAAAAAAAGCTTTTTATAAGATTACATGATTAAAAAAAGAAATGTTTCCATTGATTTCCTGTTTCTTAAAGTTTTGGAAACGGGAAGGAGTAAAAGAGAAGAGATGGGAGAACTACAAGGAGAAGAGAAATGGAAGGGATAGAAAGAAAAGAGGAGGAGAGGAAATTTATAAAGATATTAATTAAAAGAAAATAACAACAGCAACAACAAAATTAAATTAAATTTAAAAAGCAACAATGAACAACAATAAAACAACATGCCCATTGACTAGTAACTAGGAGCTCTCGAAGGAAACTTTTTTAAAGCTGCGATTTTCCCAATTTCAGTCTAACCAGAAGTTTATTTTGTTCGTTTATCATGGGGATAAAGGGATTTTAGACGTCGAGTAGTCAAAGAAAATAAATGGGACAATTAGGAGGAGAACGAAAATGAAATGATAGGGAGAACAAACAAAAGATAAGGTAAAAAGGGAGAGGAAACTGACTCTGGGAACAGATACCCATATCCCCACAGTCGGGTGTAGCTAAAATACGCACGAAATCTATGGATACGAAATTACGGCGCTTTACATTTTGTACAGTGCACAAGCACGATTCAAGATGGAACTCTCAGTGTTTATCGCCAAGAATGCTGGAAAGATTCTAACTGAGACATCTAAGTGTTTACCGAACAGTTGTTAGGTAGTATGATACCTTCATGACAGTTCTTCCCCTTGAAACCTAATGTACATTGACATTCGTAGTGGCCATCTTTATAATTCGGCTTGCACGTTCCTCCACTTTTACACGGCTCTGCAAGGCATGGTGTCTGAAAAGACAAATGGATTAAATTGACCAAAGCGAATGCTTTAAAAATGGTTAACAAAGTCCCTTTAGGCAACTCGATAAGTCAATTATTGTTGGTTTGTTTGTTTTTTTTGTTTGTTTGTTTGTCATAGTTTCAGATTCCTAGCATAATGCTTGATTCTTTTGCCTCATAGTTATGCCTAAAACAGTAAGCTGGCGCAATATGGACAACCTTACTATCTTACTCATTGACAATGCCGTAGAACGTTATACGTCCATAATGGTACAGAACCAAACCACAGCGCTCACAACTTCGCGGATCGGCAAAACCGTTGTGGCATTTTGTGGCTTATTGTTTCCGCAAACGACGAAGCGATGGCTTCTTGCGTGGGAAACTGGCCAAACTGGGTTTCTCCTATGGCATATGTCTCGTGTATCTTTTTACTGGGCACGAGTCCGGTTCTTGTGATGTTCATTTTATATTCTCAAATCATTTACGCGCTGTGGAACAGACAGCGAAGGGTTACGGAAATTTCTCAGGCTGTCAGGTTAAGTTTACCCAAAAACATTACAAAATTGCTGACCGTCTTTATTGACTTTTATACATACAATCTGTCGCTTGGCAAATTCCATGACTTATCTACTAGCGTACGTCGCTCCCTCAGTAAGCAACGACTCCAATACATACAACTTTACAGTACTTTCGATTCTACTAAACTCCGCAGTGCACCCGTTCCTATTGTGTTGGAAAATCCAGGGTTTAGAAGACCACTGTTTGTCACCGCCATCTACATCTTCATTGTCATCTTCATTTTCATTGTCAATGTCATTTTCATGGTCATCGTCATTTGTCATCGTCATTTGTCATCGTCATTTGTCATCGTCATTTGTCATCGTCATTGTCATTGTCAATTAATGTCATCGTCATGGTCATTGTCATCGTCATCGTCATTTGTCATTGTCATGATCATTGTCATCGTCATCGTCATCGTTATCGTCATCGTCATCGTCATCGTCATTGTCATTGTCATCGTCATAGTCGTGGTCATGGTCATCGTCATTGTCATCGTCATCGTCATCGTCATCGTCATTGTCATTGTCATTGTCATATTCATGGTCATGGTCATCGTCATTGTCATCGTCATCGTTATCGTCATCGTCATCGTCATCGTCATCGTCATTGTCATTGTCATTGTCATTGTCATTCTCACTGTCATCGTCATGCTCATTTTCAGTGTCGTTGTCGTTGTCATTATCATTATCATTATATATCCGGTAGAGACATTGTCAAAAGTAAAAGTTTCTCTACTGTGGAAATTCCCCAATTTTGTAGGGTAAGTGGTTGTGGCTATGGTCACTGATCAATTCTGTGATTGTTGGCCTGCGGGACTTAGCATGATTAGCTGATTTAACTGTTCGATGTTCGATTAGAGATGTCCGATTGCAGCCAACTGTCTGATTACAACTCTACAGAATAATGAATGAAAAATAAAGCAACTAGAGCACTGATCGTATTTGAGGAAATTGTAATGGCTATGCTTAGAACACTAATTAAACGGTGTGATTGATCAGCGTACAGGTCATGTGTAACTAATTACTAAGCCGCTGACCCGCGTGACCGTGGATACCACTACTCCAGCTACTAAATCTTGGCTTTGCAAATATAGAAACGTCTCAAGCCACAGCCTTTATCGTTCCACACACCATCTTTTATCATCGCACAGTCTTCGCCATTGTGATCATCCGGGATTACCTTCGGACCAGTTTACATACCCGTGGAGGGTTTTTCCGTCCGCTCCCATCGGATGATCTGTCATTTGCTCCAATCCAGGCACCAGTTTCATCATCAGGAATAAGGAAGGATACGAAATTATCTTCTTCAGTAGAATGATTTGTAACCAAAATGAAATTGATGTTCTGGCAATGATTCTTGGCATGTTTCCATGTATCCGTTTCCCCAAAGAACTTATAACAGGACACGTCGAACTTTTTCCATCCGTTTGTTGTGTCACAGTCTGCAACTCGCATTCAATATAAGAAAAAAAAAAACATCGCAAATTGAAGCAACAGGGACTCCTAACTATCAGGCCTTGATTGTTCGAATGGTGGATAATACTATTCCACGAATAGATCTCTATTCAGTGGATAGCGCAGTACAGTTTGTTAGCACTTATCCGCTTGATAACGTTATCTGCCCTTTGAACAGTTGGGCTCAGAGGGAAAAGCTACCTATCGCCACAATGGTACAAGTGTATAGTGACGGGGAAGGGAATAGTATCCAATGCCGGATAGGCCTTATAGATGGTGGGATAAGTTCGTTTGCAAATATGATCAATGTGAGGTGACCAATTTAGTGAACTGTCTGCAAACATTCACTCCGACGAAGGGCTAACGCTCGAAAGGTCAGCTTTTGTAATCGTTACGGTAGCCAATTTACCACTTCAACTTTGTTGATATATCCAAATTATCTCGTTACTCCCACCGACGCAGCCCCAAACAGTTTCTTTAGAAACTATCAGCCTTTATTCATGTCTACAAACACTCCGAGGAAGGTGAAGGTATTCAAAAAGAAGGTATTCAAAAAGTTTTTCCTCTTGCATTGATTGAAAAATGATGCGAAGTTGAGTCCGCTTAAAAACTTTCTGAACTGAAATATTTGTCAGAAGCTAGCATTTCGCACCAGAATGATCTGTCGTCAGAAGAACTTGCCATATTTACAGAAAGGCAAGTCGAAGTCTGAAGACATTAAATGCCACACTCGTCAAAACTACTTGCAAAAAATTTGTTGGAAATTCTCGTTGCGTTTAAATAGTAGAAACTGTGCTTGACAAAATTGATTAATCGATTCTTTGGGTCAGGACCAGATATCAGACTTTGTCCTCCTGGTAATATGTATTAAAGGATACAACATGTCAATATCCTGACGTTAAAAATCTGGAATATGATTGCTTGAGCAAATTGTTTTACGCGGTGACTTAAAGGAAGGCAAATTTTGTATGCAAGACCTCGACGGAAGGAAAATTTTTATTTTCAGCTGCAACGCGTACAAGGGGATTACCGAAACACTGAGAAAATCATAACACAAACCGCACATGTACTCTGCCCGGGGAGAGGGGTGTACTCGCATATATGGGCCATATAGGTACGTGCCACGGAATAAGGTATGGTTTTTGAGGTTCTCGGTCCTTAAATAGGGTATCCTTTTTTACCCTTTTGTTTCTGTGTCCATGGTGTGATCCTTAGATAGGGCAGCTTAATTGTATTATCTAATACTGGAGTGCGAAAACGCCTGCCTAAATGCACGGTTTTTTTAAAACTTGATGTATCCGTTTAAGTATTGTAACAAAATGATTTTGCAACAGAGGTTTAATAGCCGTTAAGCGGGTAAATACACGTAACGCCTCTTCAAGCAACATTATTAATTAATAATATGACTGTCGTTTATTTAATTAACAGAACTCTCACAACAAAACTTAGCTTAATGAAATAACGAGTGATAGAAGGGTAATGTTTAGCCGCGATCAAAGTTCAATACGAATAGAGTAGGTAGAGACACTCTAGTACGATCAAATAATCCTGGCTGTAATCCGCTGTAATAAACAGACCGACTGAAAGATGTATCATGGTTATGATTGAATATTATTAAACTAGGCTTATTCTAGTAATTTATGCTTGATGCTATACATCCAATGTTTCAGAGGAGAAATAAAGTTTTCCTTTTCATGCTTTCCTTGGATAGGGTGTCATTTTTTGGCTTTGGGCCTTAAAAAGGGTATCAGTTTTCGCTTTCTTAGTCCTAAATAGGGTTAGGGTTCACGAACCTTCGCAGTACACCCCTGTCTAAAATTCGCTGGAGTACCCCCCCCCCTACTCTGCTGATAATGTGGTTTCCGGCTGCTCTTCTGTTGTAAGGTTTACAGCGCGTAAATCGTAAAACATTTTCGATGTAAAGGTAGAGTCTGTTTACGAGCAAAGTGGCCCATCAGGCCGGCGCTTATTTCCGGTTTCCTTAGCACGAAGGGACTAGGGGTATTTCTACTCTTCGAAAACATATTCGTTAACTAACGGTTAAGAGGTTAAAATCTGCCCAATTTTTATGCCTGACGGATCAAATTTTTGGCCACTTTACGGCCCCATTGAGACCCTCGGATATGCCAGTATCCATTCAGATTGTGGCGTTTATTTATGGTTGGCTGGAAGACAAAAAATTAAAATTAAACCACCTTATGACACGGCTGATGTATTCTGTGTCTAGCGTACCCACCAGCGAAAATGCGTGCGGAGCGTTACCCATTGAGCGTTACCACCTGACTGCGTGACGTCCTAGCCGGAAGATTCGTCGTGTACAGTCGTTGGCTTATCGGAGAAATGTTTTCGCCCAGATCCCAGACATTAATCAAATATGGCGGTCGTCGTCAGCTAAAAATTCTTTCTTCTTCGTGTCTTCGAGGTAAAAACAACCATGGCTTCAATTGTTCGAGCTTCTCTCCGTCCGTTTTTTCGAGCTGTTGATCAAACATTCTTTCCAAGAAGTTGTCTCGTACGATGGAAATCTGCATCGTCACAAGCTCAGGTGAAGCTATTGATTTTGAGTAATCCGATCACAAATCGAATGTGTAGGTGTATGATCACATCTTCTTACTGGGTCGTCTACAGAATTTCGTTGCAAGATGAAGGTTATTGTTTCGGTTCCGTGAAAGCATTGAGGGGTCGCATATTCCGAAATACGACTCCATAAAGGATCGATCAAGGTGGACGTAAAGTACGTGTCACGAGTATTGTGTCTGATCGAGCTATCGTTACTCTCAAGGGATCGATCTTTATCCTTTTCGAGATACACGCCACCATCATCTAAGAATTTTGTTGAAAGTAATCTTGGATTTCCTGTCTTTTCTGACGCCTATAACGTACACCAAGCATGTAAACTGTTTCTTGCTTTCGTTGGGTTCAAAATAATAAATTAAATGTATTTTCCATCGTATCCCTCTTTACGTCATACTCTGGGATGATCCAATTTTTTCCAGCAAACCTCTCCCTCCGTGTCCAAAATATGTTTTGACTCCAAATCATTAGCGTATTAGGTGCCATTTCACGATGTTCTCGAAGGGTCAATCTTTTTAGACACCTGTGGTAAAGAAGTCTGAATTATGTGTCATAATTTTGTTAGCCTGTTGACAACCAAAAAATCTGAACTCTCCTTACCCAAAACATTTAAGCAAAACAGAATAAATGAAAACTATGTTGACAAAAATGCCATTGTATCTCTAATATAAGGATGATACCAAACCGAATTGAATTTTGAAAAAATTCAACCTTTTAAGTCAAAGAATAATATTTAACTCACAGGTCAGTTATGCAGGAATCAACGATGACATTAGAGGAGCCTTTGAACAGATAGTGGGTGAAAAAAATGTTTCATCTGCAATGGTTGTGAGAGAACAACATGGGAAAGATGAGTCACACCACAAATGCCAACCTGCTGATCTTGTCGTGTGGCCCACTAACAAAGAAGAAGTCATCCAAGTGGCCAAGCTCTGTAACGATAATTGTATTCCATTGATTCCTTTTGGATCTGGGACAGGCCTGGAAGGAGGTGTTGTTCCAAAAAAGGTGCCAAATGTTGTAACATACATGTGTTTGGCTGGCAATTTAAGGCCTAGTTTATACGTCGCACTACAGTCAAATTGAATTCAGACGAATTTAATTCAAGGTCCCACAAGCAATTAAATTCAACGATAGCACGACATCTAAAACGAATATAATTCATCTGGTAAATTAAATTCGTCCTAAACGTTTTATCTGTCTTGGTAAGACCTAGTTTATACGTTGCACTACAGTCAGATTTAATTCATACGAATTTAATTCCATTAAATTCGTCGTTCCGTTGACGTAAATCGTGGTGTCGTTTTATGCGTCGAAATCAATACGATCGAATTTAATTCTCTTCTCAAATGCAGTGCCTCTGCTCAGAGATGTCATTTTGAAATAAATTGAAATACATTAAGAAAATGTATGCATTTTATTCGACGCAACGCTAGATGCGCCCAAGATGGATAAAACATCAAGGACGAATTTAATTTACCAGACGAATTTAATTCGTTTCAGACATCGTGCTATCGTCGAATTTAATTGCTAGTGTGACCTTGAATTAAATTTGACTGTAGCGCGATGTATAAACGAGGCCTAAGACAGATAAAATATCTATAACACGTCTTCAGTTTTAAAGTCACACTAGTGTCGCGTCCAATGAAATGCATGAATATTCTTAATTTATTTTGGCGTGCCTGCAGCGACCCATGGTGAGCTTTTTGAGTGACACCTCTGACCAGAGACACTGCATTTGGGAAGAGAATTCAATTCAACTGTATTGACTTCAATGCATATAACCATACCAGGATTTATGTCGACGGAACGACGAATTTAATCCAATTACATTCGTCTGAATTAAATTCGACTGTAGCGCGACATATAAACTAGGCCAAAGTGTGAACATAAAAAAGACACTGTTGGGCCTGTATCTGTATCTATTTCTTGATTTTCTTAAACACAAGTATATACTGTAATTTAATATTTTTGAGAAATATTTGGCTTTGTTGTCCAGTATCTCCAGCGGTCTTTGGTCCCAGCCCTTTCACTCCCAAGATCTTAATAGCAATTCTCCCTACTTTCTGTCATAAAATTTTTCTGATGTTAGTTTGGAGAATTTGGTATTGGATCAACTAGTAATCCTGCAGTTGATATCTTTCTTTTTCCCTATCAAGTATCTGCTTGATATTGTCTTAATAATGTAAAGAGAAATTTTGTCGCTGTCACTCATGGGAATTGAAATGTAATTATTCAATTGAAATTGAAATTCATTTCCCTTTTACTTTCCTGTTTCTCAAGTATCTCTTACTAAAACTTGAGTGTTTCAAACTGTTTCATTAGTTAAGATTGGTGTATAAAGAAAATGCTGAAAATGCTGATCATTGTGAGTTCTTTTCCAGGGTGGTGTCAGTGTTGACATGACAAAAATGAATGAGATTCTTGAGGTAAATGCAGAAGATTTTGATGTCACAGTGCAAGCAGGTGTTACAAGGAATCAGCTGAACAATTATGTTAGGGACACAGGGCTGTGGTTTCCAGTTGGTATGTAATATTGTCACAGAAACCCTTTTTGCTATTTAAAACAATTTTTTTTACAGTGGTGAATGAAGCAATGAGGTGACTATCCACCATTTTCACAGACACTGAGTGGAATAATTGTTTTAGTATATACCATAAAGAAACCAAAAGATCATGTTTATTCCCGTTAATATACTGAAAAGTGGTCAGAAATTGAACTCTTGATACACGAGTGTCTTTGGTTGCTTGGAGGTGAATGGTACTTGATAAAAACTTCCAAACTAGCCAATCAGCACTTTTCACCTGCATGACCTATACTAATAAAATATGGAAAAATACAAATTTCTTTCTTTCCCTTTTCTTGGCTTTTTATATCTGAATAATTTTATGTTTAGATCCAGGAGCTGATGCCAGTTTAGGTGGTATGGCATCTACAAGTGCATCTGGAACAAATGCAGTCAGGTATATAGACAATTCTTTAGAATTTAAATGTCACTGTATAGCAAATTTATATATTGTTAGTGAAGACCTGAGGAACAAGTAAGGCTGGGGTAACTGTTCTAGCTTTATGGGTAACTCTGGAAATGGCTTGTTATGATTAAAATTGCCTTATAATGAAACATAGAGCATTAAAAGCAATCAATACTGCCTTAACTTAAATTCAGCATTTTAAAAGTAAAAGAAAAAGCATATTGCTCTGCCACTTTACACATTAACAGTGATCTGATACTGATTATTATTTTCAAATTTTTGCAGGTATGGGACCATGAGAGAGAATGTTATGAACTTAGAAGTAGTTTTACCAGATGGAAGAGTTGTCAACACTGCTGGAGAAGGGCGACGAACTAGGTACACTGTTGGCTTTAGTTCACATAACTTAAATGTACTTAATATTAAAATTGTCTAAGAGTGGTGACAGGGAGGTCTTTCATTTCTCTGGTAAGGAGAGACTAGGAGCTTAGCAAACCACTGAACTAATCTCTTTTTTTTTTCTACTGCAGAAAGACATCAGCTGGATATAACCTGACAAACTTGTTTGTGGGTTCTGAGGGTACCTTGGGAATTATCACAAAAGTGACACTTAGGTTATATGGTATACCAGAATCGGTATGTGCATGTATGAACTTTCTTGAACTAGTTTCTGTTGCCTAACCCTTTTCTTGTTAACCTCAGTATACATATTTTCCATGCTGTTCGTTAAACATTTTGCAAGGTGCTAACAAGGAGAATTTGTGTAGTATCAAGAACTTCTTTAGTTAGTGATTATTTCCTCTGTTCTCACAACCTTACTGTGGGATTCAGAGTCTAGAAGCTGTTGTCTTTCCTTTGGTTAGAGGGCTAACCAAAGAGATGCACAGTAGCAGTAATATATTATTGAGCTAACCGCCACCTGGTTAGCTCAATTGGTTAGAGTGCCGGATTGTGTTGTGCGGGAGGTCAAGGGTTCGACTCATGGTCTTAAAATAAGTGAGGAGAATTTGCTACCTTTCGATAATCAAGAATTGGATGGATATTCTAGTCTTCTCGGATAAGGACAAATAAACCATAGGCCCCGTCTCCTGCAGGGTTAGGGGTAGGAGACGTTAATTTCACGAGATTACTGTGTGGTGGATGTCCTTCCCTGGGTGAGATGGGTGGGTGCTGGCCCTGAAAAACCCCTATGGGGAGTGCTCAAGTAACGTATGTATGTATGTATGCATGCATGCATGCATGCATGCATGCATGCATGCATGCATGTATGTATGTATGTATGTATGTATGTATGTATGTATATATATTAGGGAAGCTTCAAACTCACAGTTTTAGTGATGTTTTTTGGAAAACATTTCTGTAACTGTATGAGTGGAATGTTTAGCTGTAGATTATACACCACAGTGCTCTCCTTGTATAATAGAACTGAGAGAAATGGAAGAGGGCTTTATGTACATGTATTTGATTTTGCTGTGTACAAAAATACTTATTATTTATCAAATACTACTGCTTAAGGTTTAGTCTCAATTTGTATATCTGAATTACAGACAGCTTCTGGAGTGTCATCATTTTCTGATGTCAAGTCAGCTGTCGATGCTGTGGTAGAAATTCTACAGAGTGGTATTCCCATGGCTCGTATTGGTAAATTGATTTTAAACCCTTGAATTTTTATGATTTTATAACTATTTGTTGGTGAAAATTTGTGTTATATTTTTAAATATAAGTACCCTGTCATTGGAAAAATACTATTAGAACATAGCTAACAGAACCATGCAATCAAATTCAATCTACGTAAAATCCTGATAATGCATGCTGACAGCGTCAGCAAATCGCTTCGCCAGAAATTTTTTTTTTGTGCGAGTGGCCATTGTTAGCGAGGGGAAAAATAATATATTTCACAACAATAATGGATACAAACAGAAACTCGGCCTACTAGTCCGAAAACGAAGACAATGTTTCAATCTTTTCCCTTGGGCTAGAGTTCTTAAATGAGGCAGAAAAAGAGAAAAATAATGGAAAAGGAGACTTGGCATCAGTGCCGTCATGATTCGCTTCAACTGATATTGTTGTCCGTTTTTCGCGTCGGATTTGATGCGCAATTCCACCAGCTATGTTCTAAAACAATTGGTTCATGCTTTCAGCTGTGCACTATCGAGTTATGGAGCTTGTGGGTAGTTTGGAGAGCACTCAAGAAGCTAGAGTTGCCCTCAGCTATCGCCTCGGGCAACTCTTACGCTTCTTTCGTGCTCTCCAAACTTCCCACGTGCTCCATAACTCAGTAGTGCACGCTAAAGCATGAACCAATTGTTAATTAGTCAGGGTCCTCGTGTGATTGCTTCCACTGCCCTTGGTCCTGAACCATATTCTTACAGCTTCCAATCATTTTGCTTCGGACGCTAGCATCAACCATTTGCAAACTATTTTGGAGTGCTGAATGCTTGTCCTTACACCTAGAGCTCTTCTTACTTGACTGTGACAGCCAAAATAATGTTGTGTAAAAATGCACTCTTTAATTAGTTTCAGTATACTAACGAAATGAACAGAAGAATTGTGATGGTTGCTATAAATGAATTACAAGTAATGAGTTATTACAATTATATGTAAAGAAATTGAGAAAACAAAAATAAAGGACAGCAAAAGGCACTTGCTAATGTTGTACAAGATCTGGAACAAATTGCAAAATGAAGAAAATATATACAATTTGTAAAGTGACGATTTAAACAGTTAAATGATAGATTTGAATGAATAAAATCCAGATTGAAGAACATATACAAGTGATATAAACAAAGGAAAATTATGCAGAAAAAATAGCAGAACATTGATGAAGTAATGCTCTTAGAACAAATGGCATAAATGAAAATGTAACAAAAAAAAA